GGTAATTTCAACTCTAAGTAACAAGTAAATAGGGAAGTGTTTTAACTTGAACTGCACAGCGGAATAAATATGCGTAAAGAGTTATGCCCAATCAATAATTTTAATCACATGCACATATAAGATAAGCTTAGATGGTGTGTAAGGATGGCATGCATATCTTGAATATTTAAAGGAGATGGTTCACTCAATATTTAACAATAATATTCAAGATTATAAATAAGACTTCGTGTCATGTCAATCGTATGATGAATGTCACATGCAATACATCAAACTTGCTTAGAATAATTCAAATGTTAAGCTTGGAAAGTTTGAATTACATGCATACGTGAAAACACACTAAACTCGAAAGATTAAGATAGACAATGAATAGTAAACGGGTTAGTCAAATGATAAATAAAGCGAATTATGTAACTGCGGTATGTAAATGAGAGAGGCAATTTATAGTGGTTCGGAAGTGGTGTAATCTTCCTAGTCCACTTTACTCCATTCACTTCTAGGAGTAATTCACTGTTTTCCACACACAGTTACAATAGTGAATAACCGCTACACAAGCACTTCTTCCGGATGTCTTGCACACAGCTACACCCAACTTCGAGTGTCTCTCACACAGCTACACTCAACTACGAGTATTTCGCACACAGTTATACTCGATGCCAATTAAGTGTTTTGTACACAGCTGACTCATTAGAGTATTTTGCACACAACTATACTCTCTTTTTACAATTACAAATACAAGGGTAATTGTATCTCTCTCCAACTAGTTTTGAGACTATTCAGACTAAGTCTCTCTTCTAGATATTTCAATGAATATTTGAGCACTTGTATTTCTAGAATTCGCACTTGTTCATCCGTGTTGTATCTTCAAGTCTTCATGGCCTTTTATAGACAATCAAATATATCTGTTGGAGTGGGATAATTTGATGTTTGAAATTTGAATCTTCATAGCCTGATATTGTTGACAATGGTAGGTCTTCAATTTTGATTTGATTGTCAACTTGCCTGACAAGATAATATTTTTTATCTTAACTTAATTTTCAAGTTGTTTCTAAAATATTATTATATTTGCCAATTTTGAATTTCCAACATCTCTTTGAAATAAATCCTTCTAATATAATTTATTTCTAGGATAAGATTCTTTATTCATGTCTTCATCCATTTTCCACCGTTCTGATTATATCTTTATGCAATTTGGATTCTTGTGGTATGTGGGATGAATCAAAATAAATTCCTTCGAATTTATCTATTTTCTGATCATCTTGCTTCTTTGCCATATTTTGCTCCTTAAAGGACACATTGTGCTCCTTTGGATACATCTTGCTTGTTTGACCTTGACACTTGTTGCTTGTTGATGTTATCACATATGTGCTTGTTTTAATAATTATTTTGAATCATCTCTGTAATTAAGTTCATTAATTTTGCTTATTTAATACATGTTTTCCTTGCTATTATCATTTAATTATGGTTCACACTTGTTTTGAATGTTTTACGGTGTTTGTTAGTGTTTTTGAATTATTGTAGGTCAAAGTTATGAGCAAGGGAAGTCCTAGGACAAAATTGGAGTCAAAAGTGAATCAAAAGACCGAAGAGTTGTAATTCCCGTTGAATTCGGCGACAGCTTAGTATTTTGATCATATCTCATGCTAGGAATGTCTGATTCAGGTGATTCTTGTGCCATTGGAAAGAAGACTCGAAGGGCTACAACCTATGACTCAGCAGAAAACTCAACGCGTCGAGCCCCAGGCTCGACGTGTCGAACATTTCCAGTGACATTTCATCTCGCACAGATTGGCGACAGTTTAGTATTTTGATCTTATCTCATGCTAGGAATGTCCGATTGAGGTGATTCTTGCGTCATTGGAAAGAAGACTCGAAGGGCTACAACTCTTATGGAGACATCAAAGTCTAGATAATAATAGAAAATGGTCAAAATAAGCTTGCAAACCGTACTTATTGCACTGGGCGCGATTTTAGAAACTTCCTAATTTAAAGTGGCATTCTCCAAAGCTAAAGAAAAGATAGTAATTTCCTAATCATATGATGGCAGAAATATCAAATGATTAAAGACGGTAATTTCTTATTTATTAAATAGGAATATTCCTAATTTCTCAAGGGTTGATCCCAACTTTGTACCTATTATAAAATCCCACCTTCCTCAACCCTAAGAAGAATGAGTTTTAGTTTAGAGTAAATAATTAGAATAGACAATTGTATAGTCCAGAATTCAGAATTCAGAGATTCTTGGAGACAAGAAGGAGAGAAATCAAGAGCCACAAGTTGTCTTGGAAAGCAAGAATAAGACTAGGGAGATTTGGGAAAATCGTCTGGTTAATTCTTGTACTCTTTTGATGATTTGTAATTCTTTATTTATATTTGCTATGTATAATTTAGTCATGCTTGGCTAAATTCTTTAGAGATTCTTGGGTAAAAGTGTTTATGAACCTATGTGCCTGAGCTCTCAGTTTCTTTAATATATTATTATTTGGGTTTAATACTTGTGTTGCAATCGTGATAATGTTGTTCGATGCTTGTAATTAATGGCCATAGTTACTAGCTTCATAGCCATGTTTGTGTCACCAATGGGAGTTGGGGCATAAATTAGGGCACACACGATTGCACCTAATGGTTAGTCCTTGGGAAAGGAGAACTTATTAGGGGAAGTTTATTCTAGATTATTGCTCATCGGGAGATGGTAGTAATTAGGAATAATTGAATGCTGATCTTTGATCTTATTGGGTGTTTAAGCCATGGGAGTGGAAATTCACTAGGAATAGAGATTACGGGAGTAATTCGATTCCACTTTGCATTCCCACACAAATCTTAATTCCAAACTAAATATTGCAAACGATAATTGGCACTAGGTGATTAAATACTTGAATCCCATGAATCTCAACTTCTCTCTAATTGTTTTCAAAATCCTGAACCTCTGTTTTATTTTATTTATTTTATGCCAATCAATCATCTAAGTAATTGTTAGGATTAGCTCTAATGAATAAGTTAGTAACTAGTGCTTGATACAACCACTTCCCTGTGGATCGATAACTCGTACTCCGAGAATTATTTGTTTGCAAATATACTACGCATCACTTGTTTGACTTAATACATTGTGCTTTTCTGATTAGGTTACATTGTGCTCCTTAAGGCACATCGTGCTCTTTTAAGACATTGTGATCTTTTAGAACATCGTGCTCTTTTGAGACATTGTGCTTGTTAAGACATCGTGCTCTTTTTGAGACATCGTGCTCCTTGGTACGAATTCTTGAATTGTAAAAAATAAGTCCTTAAGGGGGAATTAATCTCGGGTATAATCGTTATGAGTAAGGACTTCTACCATTTCGCCGTTAGGCTCATCCAGTCATTCTTTGTAATGCCATTCCTTAGTGCTTCTTTCCTGGATGAATACTTGTAGGACTAAAATTAATTCTCCAAATTAATTTTGTTCTTCATGTGGTAGATTTTCCTTTGCATATTGACTTGATATTCTAGATTATGATGCTTGTACTAGAGACCTAAATTCTAAGGAGATCTAAAGTACATTTGTCTCATCAAAACTTTATTACAAAAATATTCCTATCATCTGCCCATTCGGCGGAGAGCTCGCTGGTCGAAGGCCCGGAAGTGGCGAAGTGGTGGGAGATACACACCGACGGTGCCGCCAGCACCTGGCACTGCGGAGGCGGAGTTATGGTCACCACCCCCGAGGGGTTCCGTTTGTATTACGCCTTATGATACCAATTTCAGAACTCAAACAATGAGGTGGAGTACGAGGCAGTCATCAGGGGGATTGCGGCTGGTCATCGCCCTCAACGCTGCCCGGGTGTAGAGCCGTTGAAACAGTCTCGCGGGGCGGGACGGACCAAAACACACCAAAGCCCGTCCCCGTAGCGAGACAGTTTATAAAAGCCCGCCTCTTAGCGGGCTTGGAATGTGGCCGCCCCGCCATGCCAAAGCCCGCTGGCGAGGCGGGCCAGCCCGCCAGCCTATATGTTTTTGTAGTTAGAAAAGATTTGTTATACTGTAGGCTTGTAGTTACATTACTGTGTAAGTGTTTTAATTTAAAAAAATGACATGCAAACTAACAACATGTATTTAATACTAAATATTAATACAAATTAAAATAACTAACAACTAATAGAAATTATCCAAACTTTCAAGTTTCTATTCAACATTAGGAATTAAAATAAAATAGTTTTGCAAATACTAAACTTCTAAAACTCATAATTCATCAACCATTATTATCATTAATATCATGGTCTTCTTCTCCTTGATCTCTATCATCATTGATTTGGAAATTGGGAATTGCAAAGCATGCTACAATATTTTTCTTTTTAATATAGATTAGTAGGCCGCGGGCTAAACTCGTGGCCCGCCTGACCCGCCCCGCTTGGACCCGTGACCCAGGCGGGGCAGGCTAAAAAGCCCGCCTCCTGGCAAGTGAAATAATCAAGAACCCGTCCCCTACCTACGGCGGGATGACGGGTTGACTCGGCGGGTAAAACCTATTTTTGATAGCTCTATTCGCTGGGGTATTTAAGCGGAGACACGCCGACTACCAAGGCTGGTTTCCCAACCGAGACCTGTCCGAGAGCCCACCCAAGGACACTCCGGTTGCTGAGATTGGTTGCTAAAGGATGAACAACTGTCGTCGTCGGTCGTCATGTAGGATGACCGAGAGGGGTCCTGGAATTCCCCTCACGCAGAGTATTGGACCACGCTTCGACCCGGCTGCCTTGTCCGACCTTCCCGTCTAGGCGGCTAACCGGGGTATCTATCTAAATAATACTAAAAAATAGATTTGACCAGCTGCAATTAGCTAGTTAGGAGATCATTGAATAATATGTGTTGATTCTGTTCCAACGTATCCAGAGATTGTGCCAGAAGGTGATATTATAACTTGATAGGAGTCGGTCTAAATATTATAACTAAAATCAATTTTAACCTTTTGACAAATAAATTAGCTCACTTATAAGAAAGTTTGACGTGTATCATATGTATACTTAAAATAGCAACATATGCAATTTTTATTCAAATTAAAGATGCTAAGTAACATCATTAGCTTAGCTTGCTCTTATTTATACTAGATATTCAAGTATATATCTAGTATTTATTACATTGGCAAGCGAATAATATATATTTGTAGCTAGCATCTGAGATTATTCCCAGGATTAACACCAAGCTGCTGGCAATACTTGGTGTAATACTCAACCCTCTTGGTAACAGTCGCGGAATTAGCGCCATTGCACTCAAGCGGGCCATTGATAGCCCGAATGGTGCAGCCGAAACCCTGACCAGAGATGAGGCAAGAATGACAATTGTTCATCCAAAACCATAAGGCGGTCTTGAAGGAAATAATGTTGTTGGTTGCAACAATATCTGGGTTATTTAGGCCATCGAAACCGATGCTTTGGCCGGCGGGACCGTAGTTGTAATTCCAAGATAGTTGGATGGGTCCACGACCGTAGTACTTCTTTCCGGGTGCACAGGGGTACTGTCTGTTGTTCTTGTCGCAGTAGTCTCTGGTAGCACCGTTGATCTCCCTTATGTAGCACAAATCTGCATATATATATATATATATATATATATATATATATATATATATATATATATATATATATATATATATATGGGATCGGTCAGAGATTAAAGAAAATAATAATCATGATCTAAATGAAACAACTTACGTCCAGTTTCATGAGTTATGTGGGCGAAAAACGCAGCTATTTCCCGCTTAATGTTATCGGCGGTCCCAGTGGTTCCGAACTTGGGGTAGGACTTGGCGGCTTCAAGAAATGAGTTTCGCGTGTAGAACCCCTTTCCTTCGCAGCTCGGACCCGCCTGATTGGCAATTCCGTTGAAAAACGAAACTGTCACGATGTTAGACACCGACCCGCTTCCGCCGCCACCAGGGGAGGAGTAGCACGGCCCTTCTCTACACCCTTCGCCGCAGTAGTCGTTTCCAGTGCCGCAATACCCAAACTTGCTGCAACACAACCCGCGGGAAGCACACCCACAGTTTTGGGCTGAACTTAACCCTAGGGAGAATGCAGCAATAAGAGCCAAGCATACAATAACTGAACCAGATTTCGTCATATTCAATAATGAAAAGTGTAGTTTCATTTGGGATGAATCTCTATGCTGCAGATATAGGAGTATTTATAGTAGTGTAGAGAGGGTTTCTGATGGCTAGCTGGGAATTAAAATATCACAAACCCTGTCACACACAAACTAATTGTATTACCCCTGTGCGCCCACCAAATTAAATCTGTATAGTAATTGCACTTGACCGCTAAACCAAATATATATCTTACTTATTGGGTGATTCATATATTCCAAAAGGCTTAACCCCAACCCGACAGAGCATTTATGATGATGTATATTCCTGGCCATTCTTCCAATTTTTTTACTTTTATGACCAATTGAGCTGCACATGCGAGTGGGTGCTTCATATTCATATATTTATGAATGCATGCATGATGATTATGATATTTTTGTGTATTTGTTGACTATGACTTTTTATCCATCTCAATTGCATTTATGATGTGTACTCATTGACTTTGGGTTGTGTCCACCTATCTAAGTTAGAGTTTAAATTAGCTTCTAGATAAGTAAGACATAAAAACTTAATTAATTAATCAAAAAGATATATATGGTTAATTATATTGATCATGTGTTACAAGATTATGGACTAAGATGTTGCACCATTGGCCACTTGCAGGAAGTGGTGACCCTGTTCGTTCATACGGTTATCTTGGACATCGCTGGTTGCTTGCGTAAAGTGATGACCTTGTATGCTCAGATGGTTAACTTCCGCCCGTTCATTTGAATATATCTATGCTACTAGTTTTTTACGCACTTTGCGCGAATGAGATAATGCCCAATAATTATTTTTAAATAAGTATTTTAAAGTATATCAATGCAATATTATATAGGAGATGTTCATGCATAGGTAATAAATGTTGAATTTGTTTATTTAAATCAGTAATTTAAAGTATATAAATGCAAGGTAATATATGAGAGATTGATTATAATTGTCACTAAAATAAATGTTTGCAACTTTGTAATAACGCTAGTTTAAATACTTAGTCTTAAAACGATAGTTTAAATAAATACTACTTTTGGTTTAAATTTCTCTAATTCTTCTTAATTCCCTTTCGGGTAGCATTGTTATTGTTTTCATCTTCAGTACATGTCTTTTTTTTTTTTGGTAGTGTGTCAAATGCAATTAGGTTACTGGTAGCAGCATAGAGGGATTCATCATGCAATGAGATTATGGTGTAGGAAGTTTTAGATTTGCATTGATGTGTATATGACTGAGATTTTAGTTGTAATATGAACTCTTTAGCGTACAAACACCTATTGATATTTAGTGGTGGTAGTTTTTTCCCTACATGTTTCATGTGTTGTGAGATGTGTGTCGTAAGTTATCATGTAAAAGTATTGAACAAAATATTAATGTTTATTATATTTGTATAAAATACTTGGTAAATATATAAATATATATATATATATATATATATATATATATATATATATATATATATATATATAACATGTTTTGTATTATAACTTTGATATTTAATTACAAGATAATGTAAAAAAAGAAGACAATGAACAATGTAGTGAATATATAATAAATTAATAAATTTGAAAGTAAGAAATCTTTGAATTATAGAAAATAAAGATAATATCATCACAAAGAACCAATAACGCCTCTACTGAGGCTCAAACTTGTAACCTTCCAAATGGAAGTCCAACCCGGGTACCATTAGACCACATAGTCTTGGTCATCTAATTCTAAATTAATTAAATGCATATGTATTATTTTTTGTTGTAGCTACTAATTTATTTAATTAATAAGAGTAATAAAGTGTCGTACATACTTTTCTTCAACAAAAATGAAATCAATGATTTTTTTTTTTAATTTCCATTCCTTGTTTAGACAAATTGTTTTGAGAGTTTGTCCATGACAATTGCTACAATTGTTGTCAATAGAGGATGATAATAAATACTTCAAAATATATGGTTACAATAGATATTAATATAATGATATAGTAAAAATTAACTTACAAATTTCTTTAGAAGTTTTCATAAAATTTTGATGCGTAAACTTGTTCAATTGGAGCTAGTAGGATGTTAACATTGTCAATTATTTGAAAAATGATCCTATCGTTTTAGAGTCCATGTGTAATTGTATTTATGATCAACAACGTTGTAGTTAGGCCGCACAGGTCTGACAATGATGTAAGAACAATTTTGTCTGATAAAAAAATAATAGTATAATATTTGTAAAGTAATGTACAATTGTACCATTATAAAAAAAAATACAAAAAATATTAATACCATAATGGTCTAAATCATTCCAATAATGCAAAAGCATAATTGAAATATTAAGTTTTGTTCTAAACTAGTTTTTTTTTACGCGCTTTGCGCGAATGGGATAATGCCCAATAATTATTTTTAAATAAGTATTTCAAAGTATATCAATGTAATATTATATAGGAGATGTTCATGCATAGGTAAATAAATATTGTCAATAGAGGATGCTAATAAATAATTCAAAATATATGGTTACAATAGATATTGATATAATGATATAGTAAAAAATATTAATACCATAATGGCCTAAATCATTTCAATAATGCAAAAGCATAATTGAAATATTATGTTTTGTTCTAAATAATCAGATGAAGATTAATTAAACCAAAAAAAAAAAAAAAAAAAAAAAACTTAACCTAAATTTGATTTTTTTTAAATAAAAAATTCATGAAAATCAAATAATAATTTTAAAGTAGTTCCTGATTTATAATCTTTGATGCTCAACTTTGAATGTTATGTATTTAGTCGAGCTAATTATTTTATCAAAGTTTATTTTAAATTTTATATTATATTTTTTTAATACATTTTAACATATTCATAATATATGTTTAACAATTATGCCAACTATACTTGGGATGAGGTTCGAACCTAAGACCTTATATAAATTAAGAGTATGTTAATAATAATAAATAGTTAACGGAATATTCCGTTACTAAAGTTTAAACTAACGAAATTTAGGGTTATTTAAGGGAAGAAAATAATATAATAGAAGGTAAAAAAGGCAAATCATTAAAAGATACTAAAATCAAAATAATATGAACCATTCATTTTAAGAAGCAATTAGTACCGACATTTTTTTTGTTTCAGTTAAGGGCCTAACATTATTCGCTCTCATTAGATTTGTATTTGTATTTGTAGATTGTAGATTTGTAGATTGTAGATTTGTAGATTGTAGATATTGTATTAAATATTTATATGATCTTTTTTTTTTCTTACAATAGTTATAAGATCGTGTAGTTTTATATTATTTTAATATTACTTTTGTTTATTCGACATTTTTTATCGTGCATTGCGCTTACTTAGAAGTAGTACTTAAATACTAAAGTATCTGTAGTTTTTAACAAATGTAAATTTTGATAGGAGTGTTTTATCATATATATATATATATATATATATATATATATATATATATATATATATATATATAAGTTTGCTCAAATGCGGTCGCGCCCTCTTGTGCTGCCGTTTGAAGAATACACTAATAGTGTAGGGAAATACACAACAATGAAATGCAAAAATAAATCAAAAAATACACAACACATCTAAAAAATACACGATATAACTCTCCACCCTTAATGGCGCATTTCGGAACACTGTGTGGTGCTTTTATTCCTACCTAATGGTGTGTTTTTGGTGATGTGTACATAATTTGTGCATTTTTGGTTGTGCATTTCTTAACATTGATGGTGTATATTTGCATAACTATTGGTGCGGCCGCACTGACCGCACAGGAAGGCGCAACCGCACCTGAATTCAACTTTATATATATATCAAATTGATCAGATTTTAATTTTTCTTTAAGATTTTCTAATTTATCCTTAATGAATATGATTATCCGTTAACTTTTTCGTTAAATATTATCTTTTTCGTTAATTTCTGTTAGTTCATGATTTCAATAAGAAAGGTCTTAGGTTCGAATCTCATCCCAATCAAAGTTGGCATAATTAGTATTCTATTTTACTCTTATTAAATTACTAGTTTTTTTACGCGCTTTGCGCGAATGGGATAATGCCCAATAATTATTTTTAAATAAGTATTTCAAAGTATATCAATACAATATTATATCAGAGATGTTCATGCATAGGTAAATAAATGTTGAATTTGTTTATTTAAATCGGTAATTTAAAGTATATAAATGCAAAATAATATATGAGAGATTAATTATAATTGTCACTAAAATAAATGTTTGCAACTTTGTAATAATGCTAGTTTAAATACTTAGTCTTAAAACGATACTATAAATAAATACAATTTTTGGTTTAAATTTCTCTAATTCTTCTTAATTCTCTTTTGGGTAGCATTGTTATTGTTTTCATCTTCAGTACATGTCCTTTTTTTTATTATTATTATTGGTACTGTGTCATGTGCAATTAGGTTACTGGTAGCAGCATAGAGAGATTCATCATGCAATGAGATTATGATGTAGGAAGTTTTAGATTTGTCTTGCTGTGTATATGACTTAGATTTTAGTTGTAATATGAACTCTTTAGCGTACAAACACCTATTGATATTTAGTAGTGGTAGTTTTTTCCCTACATGTTTCATGTGTTGTGAGATGTGTGTCATAGGTTATCATGTGAAAGTATTGAACAAAATATTAATATTTATTATATTTGTATAAAATACTTGATAAATAAATAAATAAATAAATAAATAAATAAATATATATATATATATATATATATATATATATATATATATATATATATATATATATAACATGTTTTGTATTATAACTTTGATATTTAATTACAAGATAATGTAAAAAAGAAAACAATGAACAATGTAGTGAATATAATAAATTAATAAATTTGAAGGTAAGGAATTTTTGAATTGTAGAAAATAAAGATAATATAACTGATGAAATTATATTTCTTTTAAGTTTTTTTATAATGAATAATTTTTTTAAATAAAGCATTATAGACATCTAATTCTAAATTAATTAAATGCATATGTACAAAAGTTTATATTATATATATTTTTAATACATTTTAACATATGCATAATATAAGTTTAACAATTATGCCAACTATACTTGA